TTCGTGACAGCCCTATTAGCTTAGATATTCCATTAGGCGGCATCCATCGATTACTCAGACATGCATTGATTTTTTCACAACTGACTGCAAATTTCAATGCATAAACGATTAGATGCAGTCCTTAATGAGCTGGCACTGGCTCCTGTTTAGCCAGGATTAAGCGGCTTCTGTGGCCACATGAGATGGATTTTACATAAAAATACAACTAAACGTGAATCTAATGTGATATAAGGCCGTATTCGGCTTAGATTGGTATTGAGAGCACATAAATATTTATTGTTTAGCTTTTAATTTAAATAACTTTCGGAAAAGGTCCATCCTTTGCAGTTGTTTTAATTGATCGAGAATTTCAAGAAAACTAAAAATATAAAAATATTAATAAATTATATTACAAAAATGTGTACCGCACAGAAGGAAACATCAACGAGGCCATAAAGTAAATGTATTCAAGATTAGCATCAACAATCGAGTCGATATGTCCGTCTGTCCGTCGATCCATCTGTCTGCCTCAGTTTTAAAGCTATTATTTTGAATCTTTGCATAGATCCTTACTTTTGTTGCAGACAGTACATTTGTAAGGAACAGCTGGATTTCATATTTCTGGCATAGGAATGATCGGTCAATACTTTTTTGTTTAACAAGATATCTTGAGCAAACTTGAGGTTTATTCGTTTCACTATGCTCCTCATATATATGCAAAGACTTATTAACATCAGACAACATCAGATTATATCATACAGGTGCCACACGAAGTTTGAAAAGAAGGTTCTTGCATGGCAAAGTATTCGGTTTTCTAAGATATTTTTATTAAATTCAGTATTTAGGAGCTTCACTATTCTCACAGATCTGCAAATGTCAAATAGTTGTTTGGGTATTATAGTTTTTCGTTAACATCAAGTTGGGTAATTTTATTAAGAAGATAAATAACATATAAATAAGTGAAATACTCCTTAAATTGAGAACATGGTTCGGTACTCAAAGGGGTTATGCGAATACTTATATTTAAAAGCAACTAAACAAACCATTCTCTAATATTTATAATATTAAACAAATTTAAATGAACAGCATTTAAATAAATGGCAAAACATTTGTCAATATAATCAAGAATTAAATCCATTGTTATATTTGTTTTACTTTTATTTATTCCTTTAGTTAATTAATTAACAAACATAAAATGAATATTAGAGTAATGACTTTGCTTTCTTGCCATACGAAAGGCTCTCTTAAAGTGCAGTTTCCTCCGTTTCTTTTCCAAAAACTCTGTCCAAACTTTGCTGACTTTTTATCTTGTTAAGCAATTCATAATGATATCTGACCTGCTCCACCTCGTCAGCCTAATCCCATCAAAGCGCTGACCGCTGTTGGCTATTAACGTCCAACTAAAACGAACGTTACAGAAATTTCCGCCAGTTTTTTAGATAATTCGAATGCAAGAAAAAATAACGTAGAAAACGTTACAAAAAACCGGTTAAAGTACAATAACTTTAAGAACCTAGCGTTTGTTGGTCTCTGACATATTTTGGCGGTAGAAACAACAAGATTTTATGCAAAAACATCCAGTTTTTAAACGGGTCCAGCAATTAAGTTGAACCATAGTTCAGTCAGATGCTGAGCTGCAGACAGAAGTCACATAAACAAGACGCCGCAGTAGCGTACGGTAAGGGGGGGTAGGCATCCTTGGGATGCTCGCACTGGGACAGTGACAACCAATCAGCAGTCAAGATTTCAACGCAAAATTCCAGCACACACAAAGCGTAATCAAAACAAATAGCTAACCCTTAAAGAGATAAGCCAACAAGCACAACTCACCCCAAGAACAAATAAAAGGCAGAGTCCCAGCCCCAGATGAGCATAGCAAAAAATGTAGCATACTTTTCAGCGCAAGCAAAAAATCTCGAATAGGTTGAGTAAAAAATGAAAACATTGTAACATATTGTGTTCATGTAGATTATATTATAAATTAATTTATGCATCGATTTTCTTAAATATTATGGATTGATGGAACAACAAAATAATTTCAGGTGTTTTTAAAGTCAAGATTAACAGGGCATAAATATTATTTAATATTATAAAGTTAAATAGAGCACCGCAAACTATATAAAACAATTAGCTTATCATTATATTTTAGAGCAGAACATTATATATTTGAGATTTATAATTAAAGCATTTGTTAAAGCTCGGCAATAATCAACTAATTTTCTATTTGATGATGATCAAAAGCGCTAAAAGAACTCCTTTGATATTTTCATGAGCCAACAGTTGTAGAGATTTATTCAATTTTCTAGCATAATATTTAACTAAATATATTAATTTTAAAAGAGAACATAAATTAAGTCACCGAATACTCTATTAAATAATGTTGCCTAAATATAAAAAAAGAGGGCAAATATATATTGAAAACGCATTAAAAAATATTTTCAATAAATATGTGGGAAAAAAATAAGTTCTATCAATAAGTTTTAGTAACCCTTCAAGTATTATATATGTCCTGCCAAGATTTAATAGCTATAATTAGTTCGGTTGACTCAATTAGACCTGTGCCTTATAAAATTGCCAATGTGCCGCCACAACATCAACATATCAATTAAAATGTCACTGTTTTTGTTTTATTGGCATTTTGTGCGTGTGGCGCAACATGTGACGCGTCGCAGGCCAAGCCAAACAAAACCAAAACAAAACAAAAAACAAAGAGAAAAGACAAAGCGAAACAAAATAATGCATACTTCAAGGCTAAAAAAGGCGCAACAGGCGGGCCAATGTGTGGGCGGGGCGGGCGTCTAAATAGCCCAACATGTGCGGGGGCGTCTGAGAAAAAAGAGCGCAAAATATGTGTAAGAGGCCAACGACGAAATGTGAGACACTCTCACAGTGCCGCCAAAAAGTATGCTAAGAAAAATGCAAAATATGCTGCGCAAGGGGTGGGCTGAAGTGCGACAAAGAGAGTGTGACAGAGAGAGAGAGAGACAGAGAGCGTGAGTAGGGGAGGTTTGGTATTTCTTAAAAAGCGCAAAAGACCTTTTGCATTGTGTCTTCACGGGATTTGTGGCCCGGCCCAGCCTACAATTGCGCAATTATTGAGGTAGGCACAAGGGTTATCTATGCACGAGGCGTATACCCTGTATTGGGTGTAAGATGTGAGAGCTACCCCTTTTCTTGGCTGTGTGTTTTCTTGTCTGCAGCCTTCATTAACTTGACTTGGGCAGCTCGGAGATGAGCGGTCAAGCGTTGAACCGGTTTGCAGCCGGTCGCAGCCTGTCTTCGACTGGACCCTCGACCCCGGTAAACTGAACCTCAGCATCCTTGAGAATATGGGCTTCCATCTGGCCCAAAGCAGATCAGTTGAGTTTGAACCTTCATTTCGGTCGCGTCGCGTTACTTTTTTGGCTTTGTTGTTGTTGCTGTTAAAGACGAAATTTCGTCGAGTTTGTTTTCATTTTTGTATTAATTTGGTCGTTTTATTTTTCTGTTCTTTTGTTAATGTCGGATTTCTGTTAATTTCAAATATTGTTATAAAATTTACATTTGTTTTCGTTGCCAATTTATGTTTCTGTTGTAATTTTTGAAACATTTTCATTAAACATTAATTAACTATACGAAATTAAACGTAAGTGCAAAGTGCAAAGGCCACAAAGCATAGGCAAAGGCTTACATACAAATATGTTTATAAACATTTTAAAAATTGTCCATTAAATGTGTTGTGAAGAGAAATTTGTCTTCGTCAAGCTCTAAACACCTCATATAATCGAAAAATAATTGCGCCTGAGTGCGTGGCTTAAAGGAATATCAATGCTTTAGAATTTCAAGAACCAACTTCAAAGCTTGGTTCTTAGCACATCCAAACATTATTATAAGACAATCCAAATGTGGTCTTCTTCAAATTAAAATTAAATAAAAATAGAATAAACCTTCAAGAGTAGGTTATATTATAAAAAAACGAGAAAGAAAAGCTAACTTCGGCATGCCGAAGATCTAATACCCTTGCAGACCCAATATTTTCATAATGCTTATAGTGCTTTGCCCGTATCTAAGAAGCACAGGGAAAATAGTAAATGCCGAGGTTGGGCAAGATATCTTGATAAACAAAAAAAGGTTTTTAATCAAAAACCTAGTTTTCGACCGATCGTTCCTATGGCAGATATATAATATAGTAGTCCGATGTAAATAGGATTTTGCAAAAATGAAGGGAGCATAGTGAAATCTTTAAATTCTTTTAATCTTTAAATGTTTAATAAAAATATCTTGAATGACAAAAAAGTTTTCCATACAACAACTTAATTTTTGACCGATCGTTCCTATGGCAGCTATATAATATAGTGGTCCGATCCAGCTGGTTTTCACATATGTGCTGCGTGCAACAGAAAGAGAGACTTCTGCAAAGTTTCATTAAGATAGCTTTAAAACTGAGAGACTAGTTCGCATGGAAACAGACAGACGGACAGACGGACATGGCTCTATCGACTCGGCTGTTGATGCTGATCGAGAATATATATACTTTATGGGGTCGCAGATGTCTCCTTCTATGCGTTACACATTTCACGACAAAATTATAATAGCCTCTGCAAGGGTGTAAATACATATATATACAAATATATATATATACTCGCACTCTTAAACATTATCTGACAACTTTTGCTGCATATAATTATAAACTATAATATGTTTTGAAATTTAAATTGTATAATCTTGTTTTTCATTTCAAATAATCTTCCATTAAAAAAAACCTTTTCAAAGTTTGGACACTTGCCGTATGCAAAGCGCTTTTTTTATTTAAACAGATTTTCCTTGAAGGGTTTCCAATTCTCTTAAACTCTTCCACTTGCAGCGCACTCGATGAAATCCCACACCACGGAGAATCGTTTTCAGCACAGCAAACCCTTAGAAAAAAATTCTGAAAAACCTATTCAAAATTAATTATATTCAATCAATGCGCACGTTTATCGCTTGGCCTTTGTCTTGATCGAAAGTTTTGCCCATAAAAACCTGTTGAGCTCAACAGCCCCATGGATCAGTCCAATGGCGATCGCAAGCACAGCCTCCAGCAGGCAACGCCCGGGGAGTGCTCCACGCTCAGCGCGGCAGAGAGTTGCGGCAATAAGCGCAAGCTCTATGCCATAGATGAGCACGAGGAGCATTTCCCACCGACTGGGGTCGGAGCGAAGCCTGAGCCGGAGGCGGCATATGATGCGGATGTCGAGGAGCTGGAGCAGCCGTTGAGCGGCCCGCTGTCGCTGAGCAAATTGGCCAGCGAGCGTGAGGTAATCTACGAGCTGTTCCAGCCCTGGGCACTAAAGACCTACGGGGATCAGGCAAAGACCAAGACGATAACGTTGCGCAAGAAGGCGCGCATCCTGAAAGCGCTCGAGGGCAAGGAGCACAGTCGTCCCGATAGCTCCAAGTTTCGCTTCTGGGTGAAGACCAAGGGTAAGTGCAAAGCCCCCAAAACTGGCCTGGTTTAATGCCTGAACCACTTGCTCTCGCTTCTCGGCAGGCTTTACGACCAACCGACCCGACGGCTTCGAGGAGGCGCCCGGCAGTCGCCGCCGCCTTGAACCCTTGTCCGCGACGGCTGTACTCTCGGATAATCCCGGTGCCGTTGATCTGTTTGCTGCCTCGAAAAGCAAAGATTTCGGCCGTCGCATCTATCGGAAGGTGGCCTGCGTCGAGGAGTTCTTCGACATCATCTTCAACGTGCACATGGAGCTGGGCGGACGCAGCGGCATGCACGCGGGTCAGAAACGCACCTATCGCATTGTGAGTGTAGCGTATGAATCATTTAACTAGAACAGCTAAAAGCAAACCCTTGACATTATCCTGTAGGTTCCTCAAAATAACCAAAAATAAATATAATACTTTAACGATGCACATAAAACAACTATTGAAAGTATACTTAACTTTTCTCCAAAGTAAAATAGGTTTCCTACGATTTTTTGTTCTCTTCCTTTCTTTGTTTAAATGTATATATATAAGGTTAAGGCTATAAAGGGAAAAGTTGTTCATTCTGCTGATTATTATATTACTTTTATTATTATTATTATTATTATTATTATTATTCTTATTATTATTGTTATTATTATTATTATTATTTTTTTTTTTTTTATTTTTATTATTATTATTATTATTTTTATGTTTATTATTATTATATTATTATTATTATATTATTCTGTTTTTTGTATAATTATTAATCCTCAACCTGTATCTGTCTTTTATCTCTGCTCTCGCCTTCTCAAACCCTTATAGATAACCGAGACCTATGCATTTCTGCCCCGCGAGGCTGTCACGCGCTTCCTGACCATCTGCCCGGAGTGCAAGAAGAACCTGCGACCCTCCTCGCCTTCGACTGGCTTTAAGGAGGAGCTAGCCGGCAACGAGAGCTCCTCGGAAGTGGAGACCTATTTGAATTATTCATCGCACACGGAAAGCTCCTTAGAGGCGGGCCCCACGGCCAAGCGGCGGCGCCACTCCAGCGCCGATCTCAAGCCAACCGTCGCACCGCTGGCCGCCAGCTCGGTTGCCAGCAGCGCCAGTGCCACGCAGCTGGATGCAATTGCTCCACCAAGTCCCACTATGCACGCTGAGGCGGCGGGCGAGGCGGCTGGCGAGGCGTCAACGGTGGACGTGCCCAAGATACGAGTCAAGAGCCAGCTGCAGCGTCTGTTCAGTCCGCCATCGGAGCCGGCGGCTCCACAGCCCCAACCAGTTCCCCCCACCACCACACAGCTGCCGGGCTTCGATTTGCAGCTGCTCAAGTCGCGGGATAATCTGGTTCGCTATTACGATTTCATGAGACGCTTCTATGCCGGCGGCAGCGGTTCGCTGCTCGATCAACCGGTTTTAGCTCCGCCCCTCTACGGCAGCAGCCTGCTGCAGAGCCTCAGCTATCCAATGAGCAGCACGGGCTGCAGCACAGTTGCCAAGACAGCGTCTGCTGCGACGGCCAGCAGCTCCTCCCCGTTGGGCTCGACTCCTTGTGCACGCTCACCGATTGCCACGCCCGCCCCGTCCGCCCCGTCCTCGTCCGCTGCAGCAGCAGCACCCCATACGCCCATAAATCTAACCAAATCTTCTTTTTCCAGCTCCAAAAACGGCCAGCCCGCATCCACCTCAACGCCCCTGGCTGCCGCACCGCTCAAGCTGGAGCTGCCCAGTCCGCCCAAGACGCTGCCCACGGATCTGCGCATACCGCAGCTGCTGCTGCGCGGCGCCACGGCGCCGTTGGAGCAGCTGCCGCAGCCGCTGCCACCGCTCGACTTGGAGCGCCTGAAGCCAATTACGTCCACATATCTGCAGCTCACACGCAGCATGGGATTGAGCGACGAGGATGCACTGCGCTTCGATAATCTGGTGAGTAAAGATTTTAAATATACACTTTAGATGTTTAAGAGCAAGAGTGAGAGCAAGAGAGAGGACAGAGAAAACTTTTGCAACAACTCTGCCCCCTAGATGTATAAGAGATATAACGTGCAGAACACAAAAAAATATAAGAGCTAGTATTAACAGTTACAGTAACGAGTTCGCATTTCAGTACATATAACAGTCCCTTAATATGCTAAATGATCTCTTATACAAAACACAATCATATTCAATTCTTATCTTTTCATAACTTCACTTAAACATTTATACCCTTGAGATTTATAAGAGCAAGCAGATTGTGCAGCTATATTTGCAATAGAAGAGCTGATTTATGATCTCGTTAGCCCAAATGGAGCTCATACAATTAGTTGTTCAATTTATTTACATTTTTCACAATTTTTTATGATTATTAAATTATTAATATTATTATTATATATACTTATTATTTTATATTATAATTATTCTTAAGGTTTAATGCCCATTTCTACACACATTTACCCACGCTCAATTGTTTTTCGTTTCAATTATAATATTGTTAATGCATTTTTTGCCAAAAACAACAGTTACAAATTCGTTTTGTTCTACATCAAATTCAATTTGCGATTTTTTCTCGTTTTATATTAAATTTTTATTAAATTTAAATGCCTTTGGCGCATTTCAATATTTATTAATAACATTTTTACTCTCCCATTGTTGAGTCCCATACAACAATGCAATCTGCTGAATCAAGCAAAATAATATATGCAAAAAAAAAAAAAAAAAAACCGGAAAATATTTATGCCCTTTGTAACAGTTTTGTACTATTCATTTTTTGTATATCTGCTTTGTTGTGATTCGCGAGCGCATTTTTGAAGTACTCGTAGACAAAGCTTTTTAATTAGTTGAACGCCTTTAGCGTAACCTTTCTTGTATACCCTTGCAGAGTTAATTTTATATTGGTATTTCGTATTAATATACATACATACATACATATATACACATTAAATATCAATCATCGAACAGAAAGGCGCAAAGCACGGATCAGAGCACTTGCAGAAAGCGTTCATCCGCAGAGTGAACATTTCGGAGGGGGGAGCAGGCTTATTAGCACGCCATTTTCGATATTCCCTTTGATCACGCTTCCTATACTCAGAGTGCAGAGCAAGCAGTGTAGATGATACGTGCTGATGCTTTTCATCCCGTTGTATTAGCTATGAGAAGAGATAGAGAGAAAGAGCGCATGCTTAGGTAAGGAACTATTGTGGATGGTGGGAGAGAGGGAGTTTTATTAGTTGTGAGAGGGAGTTTTAAAAGATGTTTTCGCTTGTGCGCGATTGCTCTTCAAATCGGCTGTTTTATCCGCGCCCGAATATCAAATAATGTTCTTCTTCTTTATAAAATTAAATCAACATAAGCCCGTGCAGAACGCTATAAGTTTGTGCCGTGTAATCCGAATATGTATTTAGTCTATCCGTTTAAATTTCTTAAATAAAATGTGAGCCACGCAAGTCTGAATAATACTAGGAGAAAAGTAAGGCGCAATTGAGAGAAGAACATGTATGCAGGTAACCAGAAGTGCGTGTGGGAGTTTCAGTAGCACAGCGTTCATTCCCATAATGGACATTGTGGATGAGGGGCGGATGGAAGATAATTTATTTTACACGACATTTGCGCTGTTGCTTTTGATCCCGTTTTATATATTTGCTCTGCGGAGCAAGCAGTTTAGAGAATATGCATTGCATGTACGCTGATGCCTTTGATCCCGTTGTATTAGCTATGCTGACAGAGAGAGAGAGAGAGAGAGAGCTTTTAAAGGGAACATTGTGAATGGGGCTCCAAGTTGTTAGTGGGAATGCCGGCTTAGCGTAGGCGGCAGCATAATGAGATGAATTAGTTTGTGCGCGTTTGCTCATAACATCGGCTGTCTAGTTCGCGGGTGTATAATAAAACGTTTATTTTGTAAAGTAAATTAAACATACCATGTGCCATGTGTGCATAAATAATATGTGTATCGATCTTGTATCCGAATTCCATCCGTTAACATGTAATAATAGTTGCCGAAAAAGTGTGCTATGCAGACACTCAATTCGATTCACTCGATCTGTGCTTGCCGCCGGAGAGAACGCGAAAGAGAGAGAGAGAAACAAGTGAGTGAGTAATTTGAAGCTTTTATTATTTGTATGACTACTGCAAGGGTATTAAAACTTCGGCAGCCTCGAAGATATTTTGTACGCTTATGTACAATTTTTAATACAATTTTATATTAAATACCACATATTTTCAAAATTTACCATCTAAGCCGTTTTTGTGCTATTCACATTTGATCAACAACAAATTTTTAACTAATTTAGTTTCTTTTTTCTCTGACATGCTTTTGGCTTATGAATCTAACGCATCTATCGCACTTTAAATGAGATAATGAGAGCGAGACAGAACTATGCTTCAAAAAGAAAATACCAAAAAAAAAAACCAAAAAAAAAAAAACGACTACAACAACAACAATTTCGGCCACAGCAAATGCGTGCGCTTTGCGCGACGCACAAAATTATGCAATAGTTTTTTATATTTATTTAACTGTTTTTTTTTGGAGTTCGAATTGAATTTCAATTAATTTATTTTTATTTTTTTTATTTTAATGATATTTGATCTCTTAATGCTTGAATTATTTGCTGCAATTTATGTTTTCGCTTTAATAACGCTGTAAACATGTTTAATGCAATGCTTTTGTTTTATAATGTTTATTTAGTATTTAATTGTTATTTTTGTTGAATTGCATTTTATTTGATTTGATTTCCTTTTATTTTTTCATTTCTTTTTGTTTCATATTTTCCAGCTCACTTATTAAAAAAAAGAATTGTTGTAATAAATTAGTTAAACGCAAAATTTAATGCTTTTTTATTTTTGCACAAAACATATCCCTCTTTGCCATTTTTTGACGAGAGAGACGTGTAATAAATTAAAATGCCTATTAACATTTAAATAACAAGCGCTTAGTTTATTTTAGTCTGCTTAGTAGTTGCATACTTTTAGCCACAGGTATTTTCAGCTACGGTAAGTATACATTTAGTTTATAGATTTTCGAATAATATTTATACATATATCGATATTTTACTTATCGATTTATTTAAATAAAAAATGTGTGGGCTGATCAAACTTATTTGAAATTGATGTTAAAGACAAATTAAACTTTAAGCATTTTTTTATTATCTTTATATTATTAAAATGACTATTATTAAAGTTTGGTCTCTTAATGGCATTTTATATTTAATTTATATATGCCTAAACATTACTGAAGGTTTTCTATTTGTTGATATGATTGTAAAAAATGTAAAGGGCATCACCTGCCGCGTCCAAGTCTGTCCGCATTAATAAGCGCATCTTAATCATTTCGGGACTCACATCCAATAAATTATCACGAAAATCGTTTCATTTGGGAGCAATTGAAAGGAAAGATCAATTAATAACAGTTTCACCTATCCGAAACTGTGTCTAACATATGCATTAGAATATATTATACCGAAATAGAGGGTATCTTCTAGGCAAGCAGTTTATACCCCTTCATTCATCACGGTTTTTCATTGACATTTCTGACTTGCCCTACGATATTTTTTTTAATCTTTCCGAACTGTGTTTAACATGCAATACTATATATATTCGACATATATAGAGTATCTCCTAGACAAGCAATGTATACCACATCTTCCTCATTGTTATTATGTCTATAACTTAACTTGCTCTACGATATTTCATTCTTTACCTTTGCGAAACACTGTCCACATATATGAGACCTGGCTGCAGGGTATCTCCCAATCATCACATCATTCTTCATTGTTTTTATAGACATTTCTGACTTATTTTACGATATAATGTTTTTTTTCTTTGCAAAAACTGTCTACATATATGACACCTGACTACAGGGTATCTCCTAGTCAAGCAATCTATACGCCTTAATTTTCACTGCTTTTATTGACAATTCTGACTTGCTTTACGATATTTCGTTTTTTACCTTTCCGCAACTGTGTTAAACATATGCATTAGTATATATGACACTTGGACACAGGGTATCTCCTAGTCAAGCAATCTTTACCACGCCATCCTTCACCGTTTTGATATACATTTCTGTCTTGCTCTGCGATAAAATGTTTTTTACCTTTGCGAAACACTGTCTACATATATGAGACCTGACTACAGGGTATCTCCTAGTCAAGCAATCTATGCCATGTCATCCTTTACCGTTTTTATAGACATTTCTGCCTTGCTCTACGATATAATGTTTTTTAACTTTGCGAAACACTGTCTACATATAAGAGACTTGACTACAGGGTATCTCCGAATGATCCCATCATTCTTCATTGTGCATATAGAGATTTGTGACAAGCTCTACAATCAAATCTGTTGGGCATAACCTGCACTGATAAGCATTTATTGATACAAGTTAATGTGTACATATTTATTTATACATTTTTCACAATTTTTCCATTTGTTTTTATGCGACATAGACGTACACATAGATGTACAGACAGATGTACGTACATAGAAACGATTCATCAATTGACTTAACTTAGTTTGCCTTTTCCGCATTACGCATTTTATTTGGTTGGATGCTCCGCCTGTCCCAGACCCTGACCCGGCTGCTCTTCGCCCTTGACAGTGCTGAGCACAAATCTGGCGCTGAGAACGCGTCCATGTTGGTCGACAATTGTCTTGATCAGCTCCCCGTTTTGGGCCTGTATATCCGCTGGCGTTAGATTCACCTGCGCCAGGAAGTTGTCTATTGAATTATCCCGCTGCATCGGACGTGTAGCAGCAGCAGCGGCAGCAGCTTCTGGCCTCGATGGCGGCGCCGCTGGCGCTGTCCAATTGTTCACGCGCATCGTCGTCTTCACAATCCGTCCGTCGGGCAGGACACGAGTGCGTGTCACATCGTTGCCCAGCGCCTGGGCATTCTGTATATCCTCGTCGGTGATACCGCCGCGATTAAGCATATCCCTAACCTGTGGCTCGAGGTCTGC